AACACGCGTTAGCCCGCAGGACCTCTTTAGCCCTTGAGGTGAAGAAGGGGGCTCGTTCGGACAGGGTTGTGCCAATACCAGCCGTTGGTGGTTGTGATGAAGAAAGGGAGACTGTTAGAAAGTGCTTGACGAATCCGGATAGGTTGAGGTAGATTATTATATCTTCATTTGGTAAAGTGTTTACTTGTTGATTCGTGGTAATCGGACTTCTAGCAACTTGGACCCGGCAAAAAGGGCGTTCGAAGAGGCGGTCCGGATTTTTAATAAGACCTTAACAGATGATGAGAGGAAACTGATCGACCCTAAAAAGTTCACCACCATGGATGACGTCTTGAAGTACACAAGTGAAGCTATGGAGAGTTGGGAAAATAAACGTTGCTGGAAGAAGCCTCGGAAATGGCTAGAGTGCTTCTCTACCCGAGTGACATATTATGGCAAAATCTTGGATGTCATTGCCCAACATCACCCAGAGTATGTTTCTTTGGCGTGGGGAACAATGAAACTACTATTCGTCGTAAGTTAGCAATTCTTCGTACGCTCTAAATTACCCCTGATACAAGAAATACTGACCGCCTTATCCTCCGCCGTAGATCGTCATCAACCATGAAACTTCAGTAAAGCAAGTCGCAAAAACCCTCGTACGGATTGCCGAATCTCTTTCGCAGGTGGTCCCACTTTTACACTTGTATCCTAACGGCGAGATGATAAATGCAGTCGCCAGTCTCTACGCCCACATGATATCATTCTTGCAACGCGCAACAATTTGGTATCGCGGCAGTAGTACGTCTCGCTTATTCAAAGCCATCTTTAGTCCCTTCGAATTATCGTTCGGGGAACTATTAGTTGAAATCCGCGAGCATGGGGAACATGTCGCCAAGTTAGCAGACGTCGGGCACAAGCAAGAGACGAGAGAGATTAAAGAGCTGCTCTACGAAAACGTGAAACGGCCTGGCGTTGGGATAGACACCGGACAAGAGCTAGATGCGAGGAGAGGGATGCAGGGACAAGCTTACTATACGCAAATGATGCCGGACGGATTCTTTAGTATATGTGGTATGACCCTATCTGTTTTCGCGAAAGGGAAATTGGAAGAACCCCCCCTATGGCTAACTTTGTTGATTTTATTTGTACGGCACAAAAGAGCTGCAAAAATAGATTTCTGCCTAGCCAACGGGATCAGAAAAAGCTTTGCCGAGCTATGTTCGGACAGTTAAGGCCTTGCCTTGGATACAAGTCTCCTGGCTTTGAGAATTTGAAGATATCCGGGTTTTTGGGTTTACCTGTGGAACTCGATTTCCGGGGGCTGCCAAAAGCTCTGGGTAGGTTAGCAGTGGATCTCAAAGATACAGCAACCGTGCTTAGGCACCAAATAGCGTTCATCTTCTGCTCAAATGAAACGGTGCGCGGGTATTTGAAAAGTCCTGTGGACATTGTAAAGCTACTGGTCTTCCACGTCCTAGAACACAATCCTAACCTGCTCCTGGAGCGGCGAAGCACATTACCAATGGAGCGTCTCCAAGCAGCGCAGACAATCACGGACTTTTTTGAGATCCTGGAGGAGATTCTCCGCTCCATCCCGAGCATCCTATTCATCATCGACTCCATCGACTCCTACGCCCTCTCCACTGTGCCGGGTGAGAAATCGGAGGACATATCTCACGACATCCGGCAACTGATCGAAGGCCTGATAAAACTATCGCGGGTCTTCGAGAACTCAGTCAAGATAACATTCACCACGCGCCTCCCGAACAAGCACTCCCCCACCACTGGCCCGCTCTTTGAAAAACGAACGGATACGCTGCGCCTGGCCGGCGGCATGGTCAGCTGGATGGGCGAGAAGAGTGACGACTTTCCCCTCCCCAGCTTCCGTAACCACACTTTCATCACACAGGCTGCGGCGGCTCCGCAGGAGCCGCCTAGTGATGAGGCGTTTCTAAAAATGATCACTCCTGAGGGGGGACATATTTCTGTTGGTACGCCGAATGGATTTTCTCTACCGAAGAGGCCGTCGTGGCCGTCATGGCCGAGTAATCCTTATTCTATCGTTAGGCATAAGTGCGTGTTTCGGGAGCACTATGATCGTAACACTATTGAGCGGACGCTCACGACGGCGAAGTTTCCCCACGTTTTTGGCGTGCGGCAGCAAAGTTGACGGGCTTGGTTTTGCTCTTCCTAGTTTCTTCTGCAGAATATTTTGCGTCATCTAATGGCACTGTAGGTATTATACTGGGGGTTTGGACCCAAGTTTGGTTTTTCGATTGTACCCTAGATTTCCCACAAAGTTGGGGTAAATACTGTACTGAACTATACCTGCACCAGTTTTGGGAAATTCTGATTTGTTTGGGTTAATGGATATTTTACCCGAAACTTATATTTTGGTGATTGCGCTATAGTGTCTGTATCATAGATCTACCATAATTTTCGCGGGCCGTGGTGGGTGGGGCTTCACACCTGCATTATTCCCTTGGTTGCCCGATCATAGAGGATCACTCGCCGGGAATCAGGTTACATTAAATTTTGTTGAAAATGACAGTTAAATACCCGTAGCTGGAAACTGCGGTGGTGTGCGTACCTCTCATATGAGGACGCGTAAGCGGTGAAAAGTTTTCACCTCTATGTTTCCCTTCTTTCTTTTCTCTTCCCCCCCCGAAGTCAACCAACTCCACTCCCCACCCCCTGCACGAAACTCTCCTCGCTTCTCTTCTCTCTATTGTCTACACACACAATACAAGATTCTCATCCCCATCAGAGCGATCTCTATCCACTGCGTAAAACCCTCCTTGCAATCATTACCATTACAACTACCGGTTTTATCTTGTCCATCTCCCTCAATTTCCAACAACATTTAAGACGAGCAACCAGCAACGGACGAGTCGCATCTTTCGAGATCCTATCTGAAATAGGCAGTAAAATGGCTCCTTCTTTATACCTCCTAACCTTCCATATCCCTCAATCCTAATACTTCCAGTACTATATATATACTCCTCGTGGATACTATCCATCAAACTCCAACTGTCTCCTCACTTGCCAGCACCCACTAACCCTTAGGTCCTGCTTGGTTGCTCTGGGCCCATTTCATTTCTACATACAAATGACCATTTCTCTTCCATTTCAAACTGGGAGAATAGAACAGCTATTTGGTAACGATCAAAGATATCAACTTGAACCCTTCCATTTCTAAATAGCCCTAATACAATAGTTGCTATGGAGAAATATCACATGTATCATATATATTTATAATGTTACATAATGATTATATTTTCCTTTAAAATAATTCTTTTATAATATCATATTATCAACAGCCTTTCTTGAGATCCAATTTCTCTTTCCAGTAATTCAATGACTACTCAAGCAGACCATAACAGTATAAGAGCAAGTATAAATTCTAGAATGTTGTAGCACCTGAAGTTTGAGCTACAGTGCTAGTAATGTAAAACCTGGAATTTTATAAAATCAGAGGATAAACACTAAAGTGAGAGATTCAATGCAGGAAGTCTGAACTCTGGGAGTTTAGAAGTAGAGTGTGAAAAATTTAAATTTAGGAAAGATCATAGGTAAAATTACTAATAAAATTTGTCATGTGTTGACTACTAGTGAATGGTGCTAAATTGGCAAAACCATTTTGATCCGCCCAACCATTTCCCAATGGAACAGTCCCAAATGGGCCCAGTGCAACCAAACAGGGCCCTAGCCAGTCGCCCTCCCTGCACCCGTGCACGTCCCTACCTCCGTAATACATCGCAAAACCATCCGCGATGACAGTGGCACCTTCGGAGAGCGCCCACCTAAGCCGCCGATCCTAGTGCTAGAGGCAGGTTCACCCAATAACATATCTGCTAACTGCTTAACTGTCGCTTGGCAAGGACGTTCATGTGCTCGCCTATTCCCGAGTTCTGGATCGTTCCGTGGCTTAAATTACTCGTGCTTCTCTGCCAAGTTTTGCCTTCCCCATTTGGAGTAGCGAGTTCATGTCGATGGCTTGATACAAAAAAAAAGGTTTAGTATGAAGCCAGCTGAATGGTCTAACGTTCGGAGCAGGTACAGTACTGTGGGAAGAACTACAAACGGAGGAACTATACAAATATAGGGGATATATGAGATGGATGGACAGAGAGCAAGGTTTTTGTCTATACCTTTCTTATTGTCCTACAATTTCTCCATAATAGTCAAGTCCTATTCTATTCAGTACATTAAGCATTAAGTTTATTATCACCAGCCCATGCCCGAACCTGAAGTAGATTTAGGTGAAAATTCATGCAAAACCGATGAATCAACTCCTGTGGCATACGTTCCCACTCTAGTCTCAAAGTATTTACCACCTCTTGTCTAGTTTGCTCACTAGTACCAGTAAAATTATATTTCACCATCGCATCCTTCAAGTAATTCCAACAAGGTTTGATCTCATTGAGATCAGGGGAGTTCGCTGGCCATTTTGGTATCCAATATATGTTTCTTGCAGTAGCTTCTACAATATCCATCCGTGCTGCAAGGGTATGGTTGCCTGCATTATCTTCAACGAGCCAGCAGTGGCGTCCCGTTTGAGATTGAATCCCTTCAATGAACGGGTAAAGGTACTGATATAAAATTTCCTTTCAATAGAGGAACTAGTCAAGTCCTCCTTTTACACTCCATGAGCGGATTTCTTCTCCAAACTCCCAATATGGGCAACGAGGCATTTGGCGAGGTTCGGCAGGTTTTCTGTTATTATTATATTCGGCGATATTTCGATTAAGAGCTTGAATATACTCAAACTCTTCCATTCCTGGGATCATAGCATTATGCCTGCGTTGGGCAATACGATTTGCTCACTCCCTATTTTCCCTTTCTAATATTTCACCATTTTCAGCTCGTTCATGCTCACTTTCCTTCACCCATACCCATAGTGGTCCTTTAAATCCTAGAGCAATACTTCCTGAAACTATAATGCTTAAGCCAGACCTTCTTTTCTCAGATGTAGCTGAAGCATATGGATCTTCCCCCTTTTGTCTTGTAATATTCCGTAGTCTTCTTGGTGAGCCAACCTCAAAAATCATCTCATCGCTGAATACAAAAGACTCAATAGGCTGCTGCTGTTAGGAATACCAGATCCCAATACCTAGGAACCACCCTAAGTAGGGTAACCCCACTTGGAATCGGAATCTCTAGTCTCCAACACCCCCCTCCGGCTCCCTTACGGGGCCCGCGCGTCATCATATATATCACTCTCAGTTGCGTCCTGTGACTATATTACCACAGAATTGAAGGTGTTAGAATAATACCATATACGTCGTCGCCGTCCGTCCGACCGGATCCTGTTCACAGGATATATGAGAGGGGACCTTCGGCTAGGTCTGGGAAGTGGAACGGAGTAATTCCGTCAACTACTCAGAGAGTTACTTGGCTCAAAAGACATGATACCTTTAGCACGGGCTGTAAGTAACAGGACGATTTCGCACAAAGAGATGATATCAAATGGTAAAGAATCTCTACTAGAGACCAATACATTTACATCCACCAGAAGAGTCTAGAACTCCAAAAGACACTACCAAAGAAGCCAATGAACTTCACGGAGTGTTGCAACTGGGTTTTGGAACACGTCATAACCATGGGGTGATTCTCAATAATATAATGGTTACTGAAACCTACTACCCAGAGAGCAACCAAGGGTTGCCGACCGAGGGATTAATTACCAATCTGGTGGAATAGCTTCCTGCGAGTTAATAGGAAGCCATCCAGAGAAAATCTATTGGTTGGGTATGGAGTTACAGAGAATCAGAGTCAGATGACCTACGATGGTTGTAATGACGACCACCTTTGCAGATAAAGCTGTGGATAAAACTGATCATTCTATCAATGGCGAAGACAATTGGGGCCAACTCAGTTCAACTTAAGAACTAGGCCAAAAAGTCTAAAGACTCTGCTAATTGGGATATTACTATTGGGGACAGCACGTTTCCTAAGAAGAAATATCCTAATTACTGAAGCGGGTGTGATGGTTTTCATGGTCCACAGGTGTTCGTACCTTGAAAGAAAACTCGACGTTGCGAAATTACGATTGAAGAAGTACATAGTTGTATGATAAATAGATGTAGTCCATGAACACTCAGACGCAGAATATAAATATCGAAGTGCCTCCCAAGCTTTAGACATCATCAAGCAACGGAGAAGAGACCTTAACAATATAATATTGTTTTTACAATTCTATCCTACTTTACCTATATTACTTTACTCCTAG